TGATGCATTGCCAAACGATTTGTCAGTGTAATTTGACACAACGATCGATGGTACAGGTGATGATGAAGTACGAGAGACATTATGAACTCTGAAAAGGATCAAGTGATAAAAATACAAATATTACTAAGAAGTATACACTCACATCCGATTAATGATAGTGGTTCTCACCGTTTTCCAATTATTGTAGACGACTCCAATGCAAATAATAAAGCAAAACAATAGAAACAGCTTGGTACTACCATTTTTTAACATAATAATGATTATTGTCCTCTGTAATTCTTCGTCTCGATGCTTTTTTTTATAAATCATAATTAAATAGGCGCATAGCGACACTACTGCTCTAGTCGTAGCCAGTCAGAGTCTAATCGGTAGCCTTTTGCGGAATTCTGAAAGCAGATGATGAGAACAATAGCAATTTAACTGAGATAAAGTAGCGAAAAAAAGTCTGAATCCATATGAGTATAGATTATTCAAAAACTTTCAACTTAACTGTAACCTGCTTAAAAAGCGTTTTCCAGAAATCTGGAATGTCCAAAAAGCCTACTTTTTATAACGTAATACCAACGGCTTACCAATCATTCGATAAGATAGAGCACAGACTTCTCTTCAAAATGAGATTTTGCGCAAGTCTCTACTACCTCTATTCTCTATCTTAATCAGTGATGGAAAAGATGTTGGCATTAGGTTTTATAGCGTAGGATTTTTGGACATTCTGGATTTCTTGGAAACTTCTTTTAAGTTGGTTACAATTAAGTTGAATAATGTATAAGCATATCGAGGTTAGTGTTGCACAGGAAAAACAACAGAAGAAGTTTGTTTCCTTTTTCCGCTACTTGTCGAACAGATCGGCATAAAAACGTACTGATTCATGAGACTCTTTTCTTTTAGACAAAAAAATAATATTGTCATATTTCCAAAATAAAGCATTTACATTTTAGAATACACTATGGCTGTTGAACGTATGTTCGTTGCCGTGAGATTTAGAATCCGAATTAGTTCAGTTTATAAGCTTGTCAGTATCATTTGGATCCTTTCTTCAGTATGGGTAGGGTAATCTGGGACCAAATGTTCGATGATATACTTCAAAGACTTTCTATATGCAAATATTATTGTAAAAACAATTTCTTTACTTGTATGTTTCACGGATGATATATCAGTTGTACAGAAGCCAATACGAATGGTATTACTGATATTAATTTTAATATTGATATTACAAATTTTAATAGCGTTCTTCGATAGTTATTTGATTCTTTGTCAACTATGTGAAACATGCCATCTTTCTATATATATATTCGGTCAAGTATACAAACATTTCTATAGAAAGTAAATGATGCCAGATGTGACATGAATAATTCTAAAAGTGGATAATATGATACTATTATTTTTTTTAAAAGGAAAGCTGTGTCATCAACCAGTAAGTTCCCATGTCTGTGTGTTCTAACTATAGGTGTTATCTACAAATCAAAAAAAGAATTTGTTTCCCCAAGATCTTTTTACCGAGAATTTCTGAGCGTAGCGAAAGCCCTGAAGCTAAAAAAGTCTTAAGAAAAACGCAAAAATTAGTTTCGATTCCGTTCAATGCGCTTTACTTAAAAACTGTTTGAGCGTTAAATGATTTGTTGATATTTTCCTAGAGATTAGCGGTCATGGCGGATCTAATGAAGACGTGTGCGGCCATGTATGGCACATACGTGCGCGTATGCGATACAAGTGCAAAAAAGCCAGAGGCTCGAGAACGGCGTCAAACAATATAAACGTCTAAGATCCTCATAAAACTTTCAGTGACGAGCTGAAGGCCCAAGATGAAAACGATCTAACCGCACTATTGGATAGACCGTACAAGGGACTACATAGGGTGAAAAAAATCCCTCTTCTCTCATGTTAAAATAAAAAATGATTTATTGCTCCTGTGAGTTTGTGTGTCCTTATTTTGAATGTTCTTCAAGAAAGAAGCTATATACTATACTCTGAAAGAGGAAATATATTCTCCTTGATAGTCTGTAATTTCAGATCGAAGAGCAAACATTCGTTTTGGTGAATCTTTAAAAAAATTAATTATACAACATGAAATACAAGTTGAAATTATATGTTGAAAATTGGTTATAGCATCATACAATTGTTCGGCTGTTGAATCTTTCAATTATCTAAATTTGTCTAATATATTAACAATTGGAATATATAATTCTAAAAATGTTGCAATTGACAATCAAGTCACATAAACTCAATAGACGTTTTTCATTTGTTAAACAAATATGTTCTCCTTGATAGTCCGTAATTTCAGACCTAAGAGCAAATATTCGTTTTGGTGAATCATTAAAAAAATTAATTATTTTTTGATTCCGATCATGTTACGAATTTGTGAAACCAGTGCCAAACTGAGACAATGGTTGGACAATATTTTGTGCCAACTATGTTCGTTTCTGTTATTCTCTCTCTTCCTGCTTCCTTTATTTCCTTTTACTTTTTCTCTAAACTTCTACACAAACTTCGCGTAACTAACCTCACAAATGTCGTCAACGAATAAGCAGGAAATCGAAAAGAAAAAAATATTACGTTTATTGAAGGAAGGAGAATTGTTCACAATAGCTGAACCTCCAGGAGGAGCTACTGGCGATTTCTGGTCTAGTCTTAAAAGAATCAAAGATAAAGATGATTTATTTGAACCACTGGTACAATGTTCAGTATGTGATACTCTTCGTATACGAACCAAAGAATGGCATAACAACGATTAGCTTACATGTTCAAAATTGTTTGAAACAAGAAGAAACATTAAAATCACAGCCACCAATTAGTACAGCAATAAAAACAACAACCGCAATTAATTCAGATGAGAAACGATCATTTTTATAATTGCTTGTGCTAAATATTGTGCATTTGATTTAGAATCATTTAATTCAGTTGATGGTGAAGGTTTCGAACAATTATGTCAAAAATTAATTGATATTGGTTATAAATACGGTGGTGCCCGAAGTGGTTTACCAAATGCAAAAGATTTTTTACTAGATCCAACAAATATATCACGTACCGTTAAACAATTAGCCGAAGAATATCGTGTTAAATTAAAAGATTTATTACAGCAAGATTTGAAAAAAATAAAATTATTTGGTGTAACTTTAGATTATTGGAAAAATGGTGGAACATCGGAAAATTATTTGATAGTTAATATTCATTATACAAAAGATGGGAAAATGGTTAATTTAAAATGGTCATTTTGTGACAAATAATAGACGATATTTATTAAAATTTTACATAGTGTAAAAAACTAGGCATTTCGCTCTATCCGTTCGTAAAAAAAGCTTCTGTTGTGGCTTTTCCATGACAGAGAAAATTAGCTTTCTTTTTTTTGCTACGTGTTTTCTTAAAATGTGTGCTCAGTGTAATCGGTTTCCGATTTTTTTGAAGCTTCAAATTCAATGATTTTTTTACCGAAGGTAGACCTACTAACGATACATATATACTGATAGCGCAAACACTCCTGGATCGAGTAATAGATTTTCCACAAAAACCCTCGGTTTTTGAAATAAATTAGGTTTTTCGAAGTTCATTAACATTTGAATTAAAAAATAACGAGATATTTGGAATCAGTGGAAAAACTGCGTCGAATGGTGTATAATTCAGCCGTATTTGTACGGACACTTTTGAGTTTAGTTGATTCCTTTGTTTTTTGCATGTGCGTATAGGGATTTTTGGCTGAAATTTTAAAATTTGAAATTATCGGCAGATGAAACCGTCTAAAACACTATTTCTCTAAGTTATCGATGATTCTCTATCCACTGCAATTGTTTTCGCGTTTTGTAAAGGTTTTCTAAGTGGTTTTCTAGAGATCGGATCTATGGAAAACCACTTATAAAACCTTTTTAGAATTTGAAAAGCATTCCATTAAATAGAGCACACAAGATAACCTATAAAAAACGCGCTTTTAAGTGTTCTTGTAGCTTGCAGATCAAAAGACCACGTGCCTAGTGAAAATTGCTCACTGTACGGTTGCATTCACTTACATCAACAAACTGTAAATCAAGTTTCTTTTGAATGACGATAGCGTCATTCTGATTAAAGAATCTGACGAGTCTGGCTTATCAACTTAAACTTAATATTACTCTACGTTCAGTTTTCATCCTTCCGGATTAGGCATGCACCGTTTATAATCGGTATAGTACACCAAGCATTTTTCTACAAGATGAGTTATGGCGGAAGCCTTCATATTTTCTATTTCTGCCGCACTCGCTTGTTGATGAAGAGCTTTAAACCGGTTATTCGGTTACAATCGGCTATGAAACTTTTAAGGAAATATTTACTTATAAGCACTGAATCAAGACGAAGAATACTTTCATAGCTCATCTTGTAGGAAAATGTTTGTTCTACAAAGCCCATTTGTTAGAAAAACTTTACAGAATCAATTTTCGTTGAAAAAAAATATTTTCCAAACAAGTGCACAATTACAGTCGCAAGTCTATTCCAGATGACATTTCAAAAACTGTAGTGTAGGAGGTTACTATTTACGTCAGAGAGAAACTATTTTTCTCCTTTATTCTCTCTATTTTAACTGCTGAACAGCTCTATACTCGTCGGTTCCGATGTTAAAAGCTTTTCTGTTTTCACAAATTTCTAGACAAGTTCTTTTCTTTTCCCTCTTCCATTTTCTGTGTTTTTATACATAAGTATACACATATCTATATGCAGAACTTATATTTTCAATTCTAGCATTATATTATAAATAAATTTATTCTATTAGAAGCTCAGCTGGATCACGACTGTTTTTCAAAACATCTTACATGTCATTTGCATCGACTTTCACTGCTGATATCACAGTGCCGACCGTTTCTCCGGTAGACACTGTCAGAAAGATTTCTTCGTCAAATTATTGAAATACCAATTATTGAATTCGATAGGTTATCAGTCAAAGAAGCAACATTTGTGTTCCATGGCGTTAAACGTGCTTATTCATATTTATCACAAGATTGTACTGTTTCCATTCTCAAAATTGTTTTCTTCTTTTGCATATGATGTTACGGACGAAATTCCAAACTTTTTCCGTTTGCTGTACAATATTTCTCCAATAAGGCGTTGAACGCGATATGATGAGTTTTGATTGTTCTTGACATAGCAAATCAGGCTTATTTTTTTTGGGGCGGTTTAGAGAAAAACTGTATTCTGATTCCTTTTTGCATGCAGATTCCAAATCGGATGTTTGTTTTCTGGTGGAACGTCTAGTTTTTGAAAAAGAAGCGAGAAAACGTTTTTACGTTGAAATTAGGTATTTTTCACCTTCTCCTTTTCTCTCTCTTTCTCTCTTTCTGTTCGTTTCACCATTTTCATGATGAACGAAGAGAATGAGGAAGAGAATATATGATATGTTTAGTTCTTCTTACTACTGTTTAAACTAGGCCTAATTGGAGTAACTAAATACCTAAGTGAATTATTTCATAATGCGTATGATGGGCAATGGGTTGTCAACTGCAGCTTTAACAGTACCAGAAGTCGATAATACAAACGTTGACAATATCTACTCTGTCTAATCAGCCAAATGAATTGAAGAGTTAAACTCGTATTTTGAGTTTGTTGAACTGAATTATGTTGTAAATGGCCCGACGAAATTCATTTTGTGTTTTCCGTTATAATTTTGCGTATGATTTCATGCTCACTGTAGCGATTTCTCTCTAAATAATAATCAGTTTATTTTGTTCTACCAGGCATTATTACAGTATATAAAATTAGATATTTAAGTTTATTTAATTCAATTGAACGTGTAGTCAAAGTTTATGTAGCTATTTGAGCATATTTTTTCAATCTCGGTGACAGTTACCATAATGAATACTTTTGTCACATCGGAAGAATTCATTTGTATATTATAGTTTTTCAAAAATGTTTATTCGAAATGCTAGACAAGTTCTAGCAAGTTCTTTGCTTTTCCCTCTTCCATCTTCTATGTTTTTATACATAAGTATACACATATCTATATGCAAAACTTATATTTTCAATTCTAACGTTATATTATAAATAAATTTATTCTATTAGAAGCTCAGCTGGATCACGACTGTTTTTCAAAACATCTTACATGTCATTTGCATCGACTTTCACTGCTGATATCACAGTCTGAGACGCAAGATGCATTCCTTTATTTAACCAAAAGAAAAAAACGAATTAGTTTTATTTTAGTTTGGAGAAGCAGATTATTCTGCTTTAATTTGTAATAGTTCAAATGATTTGGCAGATTATTTTTGATATATCCTCCATTATTTCATGCATTATTGCTGTTATATTATCGATTATGTTTATTCTAACGGTTATATTTTATCGTCAGCATTGTCTCCCTGTCATCAATATTCTCATATGTAATACATGTTTGGCATATATTGTATTTTCTTTGAGCCTTCTAAGTCAAATCATTGTCATGTATCAAAATGATGTCTATCAAATTCCAGTGAATAATAACTTTTGTTCTATCCAGGGCTGTTTTACATACATTGGGGTAGGATTGCTGTATTCTTCATTCTGTGTACAAGCCATCTATCGTTATATGATTGTTTCTCATGGTCATAAAAGATGTTTGCGTACCGGCAATTACTATTTGTTAATAATATGTCTTCAATGGCTATACATCTTGTTAAGCGTACTACCGTTCTATGTAAGTGGTCAAATTAAGCTGATCTTACCTGACTATTTATGCATGATTCCATTTACAAATACTCTAATGACATTAGGCATTAGTATAGTCGACTATATAGACTCGTTGGCTGCAATTGGAATATTTTATTATTTGGTTGCACGAACTGTACGCAGTTCGACTGCATCTAGTTTAACCCAATTTCGAGCTCGACGAGAAGTCCGAATGATGAAACGTATTATAATACACGTTCTCTTCTGTCTGGTATCGGCATCACCCTACACAGGATTTTTTATCTACGGCATGTTCAGAAATCCACCCCATTTTGCATGGAGAATCATTTACGGATTTGTTGCACACTCATGTTTAATCGGTTCAATACTAAATATTTATTCTTCGGATGATGTTAAAAAAGTTATTGGCAATTACATCAAACGAAAACAAATTGCTCCTACAATAGCAACAATCAGTCGGACAAAGAAATTTTTTGTAAAATATTGACCCGTTCAAAATACGTGTTTTACTTCTTTTGTCACTATCAATTATTTTAATTATATAATTAAAATATTTCAGTAATAATTAATAGTTTTAATAATAGCTAATCAACAAGAAGTTAGAGAAGTCGACATTCGCTGGGTTACTACCAGAGAAGTATTTACTCTTATTTGTTATATCAATTCGATTAAAAGAAAAGTGCTTCTATTTTCTTTCTAAGCGTAATATAATTTATTCATTTCACAAATAATTAAAGATGAATCATCCCTGGTCGACCGATTTTACGGCAATTCTATAGAAATCTTACGAGAATCTTATATAAGGCAGTCGACGGAAATGCGTAATTTACTGAGAAGATTCTTATACGAAGGAATCTTATAAGATTTTGATAAGAATTCGGTAAAGTGACGTATATAATTATTTCATAAGAATTCATAAGATTTCAATAAGCCGGCATCAGAAATTTTAATTCTTTCAAATAGATCGCCTGACCATATTCAAAGATGAAGTTGGAGAACTGCATCATCATTTACTGCAGATTTTTCTTCTCCGGTTGCTTGCTCTACTCGGCTTACACAATATCGACACGCGGTACGACTTTTTCAATATCTACTGCCTGAAAAATCTGTAAAATTTTACACTGAATTGCGTAGCTATCTAATTTAATGCTGATTTAAGCATTTTCCTCTGTGAAGAGAGTAAGCATGCTACATAGTCGAGTTAATTTTCTTTGTAATCGATCGTAGAAAAAGTAAGATATCCATTGTTTGTTACATTGTCAGCTGATCTACTGATTTTCTATTCTACTGTTTAGAAAATCAGTAGAAATAGAAGAAGTGAGAGCAATATTCCAACGAGTAGACTAGAGTGGCTGAATTAACTTTTCACCAAAACTTCCACTTTTAAGACTATATAGTAGGTGTTTTTCTTGGCATTTTTGGCAAGGTTTTCTCCATAATACTTTTTCATTTCCATGAAAGATGCATGGAAAAAAAGCCTTTGTAATTCAATTTTGATCACTTTTTTACGTTTGTGATTCCATAAAGGAGGGTTATTGCGGCGTGGTCCATCGAACTGTACTGCTTAGGGCTAACCAAAAGTTCGTAGAACGATGTTTAAATTTTTATAAAATGCTTAACATCGAAAGATTTATTGCATGAATACTTAGTAAAATGTCTCGTCTATAATTCTAACAGTCTTTTGGATAGAGCTTATAATACAATAAACATGTGAAAATTCCTTGTTCAGAATTCGAATATATTTAGGATTTACCAAAGGTTTTCAAAACATCAAATAAAAATATATAAAGAAAGGTCGATGTTTAGGTTTATTTTATTAAATGTTCAAAATAGTCACCATTATTATTTATACAAAGTTTCATTCTTTCTAATAGTTTGTCAAAAGTTTTTTTAAACTCTTTTTCTGGAATATTGTTCACGAAATTCCAGAAAAACGGCCGAGCTAGTGATTCTTCGTTTTCTTGGTCAGCCAAGTTAATCTTGATGTAATCATTGAGCCAAAAGTCACAGGGTGCAAGATCAGGTGAGTATGGTGGATGTAGTATTATTTCAATACCTTCTTCTGTTAAATAGTCAATAACATCCCGATGAATATGAGGACGACCATTATCGTGAAGCAATCTGATGCATTTTGTGCGTGATGATTTTTCTTGTTTCCGTATTTCATTAACAACAGGTTTGAGACAATTTTCAATGTAATAGTTGTGATCGATAGTCTTGCCTTCATCAACTTTGTGTATAAAAACAGGACCATTTGATTTAAAGAATAAACAAAACAATGTTTTGGGCTCAGATCCATTTCGACGAACAATGGTCCTTGGTGGTTCATTTTCGCTAATCCATGTAGCATTACTTGACTTTCGACCAATCTGTCTATGATAAATCCATGTTTCATCACCAGTAATCACATCAGATAATCTCCGTTTCCCAGTCTGAAATTTTGCTAGATTTTGACGACAAACTCTAAGTCGTTGTTGCTTTTGTTCATCACTGAGTTTGTGAGCAACCCAACGTTATGTAACTTTTCTCATCTTTAAACAGTCATGAATGATCACTTCTATTGTACCTTGAGAGAGGGAAGTCTCGGCTATGGTATCATCATAGGTTGAATGCCGATCACCTTCAATAACTTGTCGAACTTGTTCGATATTTTCGTTTGTAAGTACCGAAATCGGACGACCAGATCGAAAGTCATCATTGACATCCTCTCTCCCTTCACGAAAACATTTCGCCCATTTTGCAACAGTTGAATATCAGCATCAGCTCCCAATGCTGTTGTAAGTTCTCCGCAAATTGTCTTTGCATCTATTTTCAGAATTGTCCGAATTTTAATATAATATCGATTAAATTCATCGATCATTTTAATGATTTAAAAAAAATTCAAATCAGATTTTGTCACAGGTTCAGGATGACTTTGATATTTGATACAAAGTATCGATCATAAATGCTGATTTACTCACACGAAAAAAGTAAGCGAATCGAATGAACTAACTCAATAAATGATTTTGTACTCAAAATATACTGTTACATGTAATATTTAAGTGCATATGACGTCAGAAAATATCATATGAGAGAGGAAAGAAAAAATGTGAAATTCAGAAATATACTCGAATCCTGGACAAGGAATGTTCGTATATTCACTGTGCTATAGACTTTATCTAAAAGACTGTTTGAATTATAGACAAGACATTTTATTAAGTATTCATGCAATAAATCTTTCGATGTTAAGTATTTTATAAAAATTTAAACATCGTTCTACGAACTTTTGGTCAGCCCTAAGTACATATCCAAACAAAAGGAGGGGGTGAGACCTCCCCTTAAGCCAAAATTTGTGTGCTAAATATATTAGGATAATGCACTTACATTGCATCCATTGACTTTACTCGTGTAACGAGGGTGACAGTACCATTTGGCTTGTCCATGTAACGCGACACTTCGCTGATCAACTTTCTTTTGAGTTTTTTTTATCTGAAAAACAATAGGGGCACATCGCTAGACGCAGCTTTTCATGCTGGTCACAAATCTGAGTTTTTTTTTGTAGAAAAAATTAATTTTCAGTACAAAAATTTAAAAATCACTTTAATTTCAATTTTCTGACTCAGACATTTTGTTCAAAATTTTTTAGAAACATACCATTGAATAGAGAATTCAATTCTCTACAAAATGGCTAGTTTTTGTTTTGAGATCTGTTTCGAGACACAGTGGTTGCTTGAACATTTCAAGTTCCGCCTTCGTCCGAAAATCTCAAAGAATTTTGCACACTTTATTTTCAACTGCGGTCTTCTCAGGAAACCTATAACTACACAGACTACCAGTATGAAGTTTTTTGAACAACGTTTAGTGGCAAAAAATGGCGCGGCAAAAATGTGTGTAACAGCGTTACGTTTGGTTTTTGCTCTTTTTGCGCTAGTAAAATAGTTACAAGAAAACTTATTTTACCACTGAAAAGTTGATGGTTCGATGCTCTACAAAATTTGCCCTAGGGACATTTCATTTGGAGAAAGACTTTAGCAGGAAATTAGAATTTTAGCAAGCGCACTCCGAATTTAGGGTCTTTGTTGTCGGTCAGCCGTTTCTTTCAGTTTGAACAGGCGTGTATATATGTAGGAATAAGCAAACAGTCAGAAAACTTAACGAAGGAATGATGATGTAACAACGTTAAGCGATGAAAAAACCTTTCTCGAAGCTCGAGACTTTAACAAGAAAGCTTCGTTTTTATAGCATAAATAGAGTATGATGAGCTGCGTCAAATGGGGTTTTAACAAACTTTCTAGCTCTCCAATTTTCCGAAATAATTGAAAAAAAGTGTATCAAAAATGTAACAGCGTTACGTTCGGACCGCCCTACTCGTTGTACGAGCGATGCTGCGTCAGTATTCGAGATTCTGCTGATTCATGTGAAATGAGAGTGTATATTAGATCGTACTTCTGTAGCTCAGTGGTTAGAGCTTCTGACCTGTTACCAGAGTATCCTGGATTCGATTTTCGGTCGAGGCATACATTTTCTTTTCACATACTTGTTTATCAATTTCACTTCTAGCGGTGTTAAAAATTCGCTTTCTGACTATATGTAACTAAGCTTAATAGAATAAAAGTTCATCAGTAATGCGACATGCCAGTGTGATCACATGATTAGCCAACTCAACTCTAAACAAACGAAATAAAAATTAGAAAAGTATTTAACTTTTGTCT